TTAGATAAATATAAATCTGTCTCTCTTAACTGTTTAATTATGATATACTGAAGAGTTATTAGTTACATCGTATGAAGTTATATTTGTTTTGAGAGTCAGGAACGAAAGAAAGATGGATGGATAAATGGATGGATGCATAGGTTGAAACTTCTTACTTGGACAGCGGTGATAAGTTCTACAGCTTTTTGTTTCTGTAGATGTTCCAACACAGCTGGCACCGCCATGAGCTGGGCTGGGATTTGTACAAGTTCTTTGTCGTGTCATCGTTCCTCTGCCACAGTTCCCAGAACAATGGCTCCAAAGGTTCCAGTTACTCCAGCCCCCATCGACTACTACACACAAAAAAAACCCAAACGCACCAATCGTTGTATCCTTGCAATGCCAGGGGTCCCGAGGCAACACGTTGCCGTTGGACCCCTGACAAATTACACTTAAGGCTCATGGGCTAACTGCAAAGATATCTTTCGAAAAAATTATAAATTTTGATAGTTTTTTCTTTTCTCTCAATCAATCATATTAAGGCAATCTTTCTATGATAACAGCTTGTAAAAGGTGCATTTTTGAGGGGTCAACTAATCTTTTCTGTTTATCTAACTATTGATGGACTTTTATTTGATTGGTGCCTCTCAATGAGCGAAGTACATGTACGCCCTAAAATATCAAATGAAATTTGCCAATGGTTCAACGACAACGTGTTTCTCAAATCCCTGAAATTGCAAGGATGCAATCCCTGTAAAAGCAAAAGTAACACTTAGCAAAGTAACATCTGCTATAATTCGACATAGATCATTAAGAAAGGCATTTCCTTTATATGTGGAACAGATTTGAACTAGAGTTGGATTATTTCTCAAATTATAGGAAAACGACTTTTTAACTTCATTTTCATCAACACTGGGTAGGCCCATTAGATATGTAGATTGGAAAAGATCAGGGAAATCAAGAAACATGAAAATGAGAAATACTTCAGAGTTAATTCCATGTCACCCAAAGGAATCTGCGTGCTGTCTTACTTTAGAAAAGATAACACCACATTTATTATGCAGACCTTAGGAAAAGTTAACACTCAATAAAATACAAAACAGGCAAAAAAATCTGTTCTGTTTTACCAAAACAGTAGGATGTCTTTTGTTTCAAATAAAAATCAAAGTTTTACAACCATAATAAACGTCAATTGGGAGCTTATCGAGTCCAAAATCAATTGTCACCTTTCCCACGCCTTCTTATTGAAATCTTTTATCGTCCCCCTCATATTAAACATACTAGTATTTTAAAATTAAAGTCAAGCGGAGTAATGCGTTTTTGACGTAACTCATTTTGACATAGACAACTTATGTTATACAATATAAAATAAATCATTAATCCAATCATATGACGTGTTACAACTTAAATTAAATCGTATTTTTATACATGTGTATTTCACTAAAAAGAGGTTAATGTTAACCTAACGATAACCTTACAATATGTTGATAAAAGTGATGCCTTCAATTTCAATCTTCAACTATCACTACTTATGTAGCAATGTCTTCTTATCACCAACATATGTAGTTTATATCGTTCAGTTGATTAATTGCGCAAGAGCATGCTCAACAATTTTTAAAAATATTTTCATTTACATGCCAACAATCTTGAGACGTTAATTTCCGAATTTCAGAAAGTTGGTATTAATATACGGTAAAATTACATATATTTTAGTTTGGGATTTGATTTTGAGATTTTGGAAAAGTTGAGTAGTAATGCTTGTGAAATCTCATATTTTGAGGTGGCCATAAATTCTAAGGTCTCTCCATACCTCGAAAACGAAAATTTAATCCTCAAGAAAAGTAGTGATTTCAAAAGAAAGAGGGAGAGGGAGCTTCTTACGTGGACAGTGGTGATAAGTTCTACAGCTTTTTGTTTCTACAGTTGTTCCAACACAGCTGGCACCGCCATGAGCTGGGCTGGGATTTGTACAGGTTCTTTGTCTTGTCATCGTTCCTCTGCCACACGTCCCAGAACAATGGCTCCAAAGGCTCCAGTCACTCCAGCCCCCATTGACTACAACTACAAGAGCTGAAATAGAGTTGAATTAATACTCGTATTATATAATGGGTATAACTTTTTAACTTCACCTTTATCAATACTGGATAGGTCCAATAGGTTTGTATACTGAAAAAGATTAGGAAAATCAATAAACATGAAAATGAGAAATACTTCAGAGTTAATTCCATGATAGACAACTTAAGAAATCTGCTCGTTGTCTTACTTAAGAAAAGATATTATTCAGACCTTAAGAAAAGTTAACACTGAATTAAAAGCAAACAGACATGTCATAAGAACTTGATCTGTTTTACCAAAACAGTGGGATGCCTTTCGTTTCAAATAAAAATCACAATTATACAACTATAATATAGGTCATTTGGAAGCATATCGAGTCCAAAAATATTCTGGAGAGGGACGTTAAACAGTATACAATCAATCAATCGAGTCCAAAAACATTTGTCACCTTTCCCATGCCTTGTGTTTGAAAGCGCTTTTATCCCCACCCCCACCCCGGTACGGCAGGGGGACTGAATGACCAATCGGTATCCATATCTTACGGAATTTCCATTGCTATTCATCTAACGTATTACCAAACAGTAAATTGAGTAAATATCTTTTCTTCTGAAACTTAATTCAACTTAATATGTGATCAATTAGATTTGATTAAATTTTTGAAAGATTTTGACAGATTTTTCACTCTTATAAATACATATATACTTAAAAGTGAATATTCAAATTATTAATTCATATTCGAATATCAACTCATCGAATATGATTTTTTTATCCCTTATTCTACATAACGCGTTGCCTGGTTGGTTCTGGATTATCACGTGATTGGGCGACAAAACTTCATTTTTATTAGCAAACATATTGTGTTAATGTAAAGCAGAATTTATTTAAACCTGTATACATATTAAAGAAGACATTTAGATATATCGACAGCTTATAATCAATTAACAATAGTTACAATATACTTCATACATTGAAATAATATACCCCTTAGTTGAAATGAAACTAAGATGACGGATGTTACTATGCATCCGTTTCAAACATGCATAACAATTTTTAATCTTCTATCCTTACTTATGCAGCAATATCTTTTTATCACCAACATATATAGTTTATGTCATTCAGTTGATTCAATATGCAAGAGCATACTCAACCTTGGAACAATTTTTATTACAAGGCAAGCTATTGACATACATATTGAAGAAACAAAAATAAATGATCATTTTCATTGTTTTCATTTACATGCCAATATTCTAGAAACGTTTCTTTCCGCATTGAAGAAATTTCATATACTGTAAATCACATATTTTCGTTTGGGATTTGATTTCGAGGTTACGGAGAAGTTGATTAGTAATGCTTCTGAAACCCCAAATTTCGAGGTGGTCATGAATTCGGGGATCTTTCCATACCTCGAAAACAACAAAAATTTACCCCCCACAAAAAGCATTGATTTTATAGGAGAGAGGGAGAGGGAGCTTCTTACGTGGACAGTGGTGATGAGTTCTACAGCTTTTTGTTTCTATAGATGTTCCAACACATCTGACACCGCCATGAGCCGGCCTGGGATTTGTACAAGTTCTTTGTCTTGTCATCGTTCCTCTGCCACACGTCCCAGAACAATGGCTCCAAAGGCTCCAGTCACTCCAGCCCCCATCAACTATGTCAAAAAGCAGTGCAATTATACGACAATATCCTAGAAGTTTTTTACTTAATGTTATTATCGGGTGTTTTAGTAAAAGATAAAACATTATTTTTGCACTAACTTTAACTTGTTTAAGGATTAATGTTAGGATTCTAACGAGAGGAAGAGACTGTTAGATCGAATGAAAGAAGACAGAAATTCATGTATGTGTAGAAGAGACATGTTTTTAATCACAGAAAGGCCAGTTGGGGTTCAATATAAATGTTTGGAGTGAAATACTGAGAGTAGTTCCTACACGGTCACTGTAGGTATGGATGTAAAAAAAACACTTGCTGAGGCCTTCAACTTAACATTTAGATATATCGACAATGCATTATCAATTAACAATAGTTACTTACATTCAAATGTCGACTATATTATATATCTACGTAAACTTGAAATAAAAGATACCATGAAGTATGACACATTTGTTTCATATTTAGACATGTTACTAGAAAAAAGACGTTTAAGGCAGCCAAACAACCAAACTTTATGATAAACATGATGAATTCAACTTCTCAATCACCATCTTCCCCTACTTTTGCAGCACTATTCCCATATCACCTGCTTATTGAGTTTATGTCTCTCGGTTGATTCAAAACACAAGAAAGTGCTCTACGTATGAACACAGGCAAGCTATTGTAAAACATTTTATCACTGAACAAAAAACGTTTTTCATACTTATTATGAGGCAATTACTAACAACCTATATTATCTACGGAATTTTCCGCTTTTCCATTTCTTGGAGGACAAGAAGCACGCAACGGTTGTGACTAATAGCCTTGGGATGCTCACGTCTTCATGGGACCTGATCTCAACTCTCATGATTTCCGAGGTCCATGTTCGCTCTGTTTCCATTTTTTAATTGAAATTTGAGTTTGTATACCGTTTATTAAATCCATATACAATGTATAAACAATAATTAATGAGATATACAAACGGAACATTTTCGATGCGCTTACTCTTGTTCTTTGTGACCAAAGTAGTGTCATATTTTGATTCAAATGGGAGTCTTGGTATAACAATGCTATTAAGATACAATGTCATTGCTGTTTGATGCAGTTTAAGGTCAAATATATATTTTTTTACAATTTTCTTTTCAAATAATTCGCTGGAAAGCTTGTGACAATTTTAGCATTAAAAAACATTCTGCATTTGTAAGATAATTTGATTACATTTTAACAGTCTGATAATTATAGTGAATATTAATTTGCTGTATTATACTTTTCAGACTTAGAGAACTTGTTTGTTATATTTGATTATCAGTTAATGGAAGCCAGAGTGCCAACGAATAGACTGCCCAGGATAACAGAATTTCTTATTTACACATTTAAATCATGAAAATCGTGTACCAATCCTGTAGATAGCAAATACTTCTTACTTGGACAAGACTGGCGACTTCTACAACTCCTGGATTCTGTAGAACTACCGAAACAGCCGTGACCGTAATGCGCATGCCTATGACCTGAACAAAGTCTTTGTCTTGACATCATTCCTTCACCACAAGTCCGAGAACAATGGCTCCAAGTGTTCCAGCTACTCCATTGTACGTCGACTGCAATTAAAACAAAACCAATTTACCTATCCATTTTTAAAAGAAAAAGAGTTTTTAATTACTAGTATGAGGGGCCGTGTTTGGCATTAAGGATAAATAACACAAACTTTTTTCTTCCAAATTTCAGATATCTTTGCTAAACTTGATGCTTCTATTACTTTAGAAGTGATACTGCGTATTTGTTTACTTAAATACCTTAATGTTTTGCCAAGCCACATAATTTGGTAAAAAGGGCAAAACTGCAATTCAGTGAGTTATTTTCCCTTACGTCAAAGTTTCTAGGGACATTTTCAATGGTGTATTTTTACTTTTTACACAATGTAAATTTCTTAATTACATTTTGTTTGAAAGAAATATCGAAAAATTGTCAATTTAACTCTGCTGTGTTGGAGATAAGAAAATTTGTTTGTGGTATGTATCAATATCTATGCATTTTATTGAAATCACTTATTCAATAAAGAGAACATCTTTACGGACAGGTGATATCGTCTATTCAAATGGCAATATACTATATAGTACTATTTTGATTCTATGATATCATTCACTTGATTTCTATTGTTTATACCATTAATATATGAGAAATATCACCTTACTGAATGAGTGATATCATCTGTTCAATTTGTGGTATCAGTTGTTTAATTGGAAATATTTTATCACCTTTTTCGACAGTAAAAGCGACTATAAATTAAAAATGGTGCCACATATTCGTATAGAAATTTACCTAATTGTGCATGTAATATTACTTATTCATTTTAAAAAGTGATTATACTTTTTCGAAGAGGGGGTATCACCTCTTTAACCTTATGTATAGAACAATACTATTGATAAACTGCATATATTCAATTAGATTTTAATAAGATTTGAAGTGTCCTTTTACATTAATAATATTAACAGAAGGAAAGAACATGTATCAGTGATTATAGCAAAACTATATGTAAAACTTCACATGTATTATTTTTATTTCCCAGACTATAGCTCAGAAGGGGAGGACTCGACTTTTGAAGGGAATATCCAAATTTATCTGTTATGTGTAAAATCAGGTTATTCTATGACCCCTTTTTGTATAGTTAAGGTATACATATAGTATCCACTTCTTTGTAACCAAATCAATAATTTTAGTTTTGAATCAAAGAAAATTTCTTGAAGACGTATAATTCATTTCTAAACTTATGTATGAGATGCAAAGGTGATGTTACGCAATCGAATAAATGATATCATCAATTCAAACACAAAAACAAAATTTAAAAAAAATTGTGTTCTCTTTGTATCTAGTCGCACTATCTAAGGGCTTCAGAGATTCTGAGCAAAACTATTGCCCATTGCTACAAAGTCCTCAAAACTCTTAAGTATTAAATTCATAAGGCTAAACTGTGATATTCAGTTTTTATAACATACTTTTTTCGACAAGCCTGGACAAAATTTGTTTGAACGTACCGATATTTAACAAGGACAACCCTGTCTCCTTATCAATTTTATCACACTATGCATGGTGAAATCACATTACATTATGATGACTATTGTTCCTACTTGACATACCTGGACAGGCTTGGCTGTAACATTTTTGAAACTCCACACATGATGTTTCGTGATGATAGTGGACAGTGTGCTCATGATTGGCGTGGTCAGTGTGCTCATGATGATAGTCAGTGTGCTCATCATTGGGGTGCTCAGTGTGCTCATGATTAGGATGGTCAGTGTGCTGATGATGGTGGTTAGTGTGCTCATAATTGGAGTGGTCAGTGTGCTCATGATGATAGTCAGTGTGCTCATGATCGGGGTGGTCAGTGTGCTCATGATGATAGTCAGTGTGCTCATGATTAGAATGGTCAGTGTGCTCATGATGATAGTCAGTGTGCTCATGATTGGGGTGGTCAGTGTGCTCATGATGATAGTCAATGTGCCCATGTTGCTGGGAGGGGTCAATATGCTGATACTGATGACATTGTTCTTCAGTATGGCATCCATGCATATTTCTTTTCCGAATACCTTCCCCACAAGTTACACTGCAGGGTCCCCAATGTTCCCACTCCGCAGAACATTCTGAATATCGGGTTATTTCATAAAAGGAAGCATGAAAAAAAAATGAAATTTCATTCATACACATCAAATGATAAATTTTGCAAATAAATTAAACATCTACATCAGAGTTCATAACTCCTGCTCCATTATTATATTATACATGTATATATGAGATGATGTCCGAAAACTTTATTCCGAGTTCACTCAAAAAGTACAGGTAATAGTTGTAAATTAATTTTTTTGTCTAGTTTCATTTTCGATAAACAGTCGTGTGTAAAAAAATATGTATCTTCCATACTTTAAAACCACGAAAATTAAACCCCCACGGAAATTATAGTGAGTTCACAGTACCCAAAAAAGTCCTTGAATATGACTAATAAATACAACGTGATATGAAACCCAATGCCTAATTTATTTTGATTTTAAGTGTACGAGCCGTCATTTGTTTTTCACTTGTCAGCAGATAATTCTAATAGGATATCATATAAGGATTGTTAACTTTGATTGAACTAGGAGTATCAAGGTAATATCAAGTAATTGATTCCTGAATATCGCATAATGTCACAGGAATATACACTACTATACCTTTCAGACATGAGATGTAAATAAACAAAGTCAGGAACCTCAGAAAGAATTTGTAATCCATGGAGAACTATTATGAAAAGGTCACGAAAAACGTTCTTATCATCCTCAGTCCAAATGTGAAAGAATCCATGGTCATTTGGGAGAGTTTTAGGATAGGCAATTTTATCTGCATAATTTATACAACCTCCAGTAATAACTGTATTCTTAGATTGAACTCGAAATCATATTTTATTGTTGTATGTACCAATATATATAAAGGACATAGCATCAATATTAAATCACTCTTTGCCAATAATATGTTCTACCTCGAGCTCATTGATTTCAAACTCTGAAAAAAAAAAATTCCTGTACCGATATCATAAGATTTTATTCCTGCACGGATTCAATTAATAGTACTTAATCTGATAAAATGAACTTCTAGTAAGAATTTACAATTGATATATCTAATACATGTATGATTTATTGAACCTTTTTTTAAATCTCAAGTTATACAGTATGCATTAAATGATATCAAGTTCAATCGTGACATTTTACATTATTGCATTGCTGTGTAACGTTTTTTTTTCACCTGAAATATCCTTATATTGAAGTTTCCACCTAACAGAAATTTATGCTTAACAATCTAAAATCAATCCTTTTAAATGACAGTCAAAGCAAATTCCAAGCAATCTCTGACTTTGAATTTTGCACACCAATCGTCTGTTTCATTTGTATTTATGCGTAATCAACTTTCAAATGAGTTGAATATGTAATAATGATCACATACTTCCGGTGTAAAGACGAATAATGACCCCCATCGAATAATGATCGGGGGTCATTTTTCGACAGCGAAAAATGACCCCCGGTCATTATTCGACGTAGAAAAATGACCCTTTTGCCCGTAGAAAAAGTGTCACTTCCCTAAAAATTTGCCGAACCCACGTGAAGAAAAATGACCCCCGTAGAAAAATGACCCCCTGAAGATTAAAGCTAAAATTTTTAGGGGGCAAAAAAAAAATTGGATAAAGTAGCATATTGGCCAAAATGCTCACCTGAGCTTATTGGGAATATACTGATGATATGTTGATATCATAACATTATTCAATTATAGCTATATTTTAAGGTAAATGCAATGATTCAGAATCTAAAGGAGCAAAAGATTAATCAAGCCTTAAGGGTTAGGTAAACATTGTTTTTTGATGGTGGAAATCATCGAACTGACAGAAAAAATCAGCAGTATTATATATATTTATATCCTCCGCTTGAAAAGCGGGAGGGTATATAGTGATCGGGATGTCCGTCCGTCCGTCTGTTACGCTTTGAGGTATCCATCTCTTATCCGCAAATCCTCATATATAAAAAAGATGTGTTTGTGAAACAGCTATGCCCCTGTATGGCAACATAGCGAAGATTAAACTTTTCTTAAATGCAATTTAAATATATTGTTACCCAAAATAGGGTCTTCTCACAAGAAATACAACTGCAAAATAGGAAAGCCCTAGCACCACTTGTTCAAAACTAATGGCTAAGGATAAGTTTTTGAAAGGTAGGTCAAACTCAAAGGTCAAAGTTGATGATTTCTTAAGAAAATGTTTAATGTAACAAGGATTACATATGTGAAGTATGAATACCCTAGCCCTTACCGTTCAAAAGTTATGGCCAAGGAAAAAAAAATCATAAGTACGGAAAACTCCAAGGTCAAGATCAAAAGGTCAAGGTTTTTAGTATCCAATGAAAGGTAATGCCAAAAAACTACATATTTGAAGTATGAGAGTACTAGTATCTACCGTTTAAAAGTTATGGCCAAAGTAAAAATTTGGCATTTTTGTGTAAAATGGGACAAACTCCAAGGTAAAGGTCAAAAGGTCAAATTTGGTGGTACCCAAAGTAAGGTCTTGTCACAAGAAATATACATATTAAATATGAAAGTCATAGCTCCAATAAATGAAAAGTTATGGTAAAGGTAAAGGTTGTTGCGGACAAACAAACCGCCAGATAGACAGACGGACATACAGACGAACACGATAAAACTATATACCCCCGAATCTTCGATTACGGGGACATAAAAAGAAATGGTCTTCAATTAACTTTTCATATTAATATACATTATAAAGAAAACGTTACAACAATGAAAATGATTGTTCTGATTTTCATATTAAATTCTCTAAAAAATATACTCAGAACTGAATAAAAGGGTGGAGTAAAACAAGAATTAAGGTAGAACCTATGTTGGAAAAGTCTTTGTCACAAGATTTTCAAACTTTTCAAAATGATAAATTAGTACTTGCTTATCAATCAGTTAAGATATCATGATATGTTTCCTTGTTTTTTAATCTAGAACAGGCTGTGAAACTTGGCATGGTATTTACATACTGCGACTTCACATTTTCAAATATTTTTAGGGGTACTTGTCATATAGGGGATATGAAAAATCACAAAAATACTTCTTCAAACATCGTCGTTTATAAACTTTTTTAACTGAATAATATTAAACAATATTTTATCAAGAATAATTTCTTTTTTATTCAATTAACGTAAAAGATAAGTCCACCATTAAAAAAAATAGTCAAATGAACTCTATTATTTTTTAGTCAATTATTCACCCTATATTTGTAAATATTTTTTAGAAGTCTTTGTCACAATCTTTTCAATCTTCAATATGATGAAGAACATAGCCAAATGATTACAAAAAATGATTAAAATATATACCTTTCCCCCCTAACTAATGAAAGATAGGCTATTTACCGATACTCATATTCTTGACCTTTTTGCACTTACACGGGATTTAATAATTAAATGACTGTTTGGGGTAACCTTCAGATTAAATATTTATCAGAAATTGTACTTTTTCTTTAAAAAGATCATATTTAATAGAAAAATTGTAATCAAACACCAAGAATATGAATAGGTAACAAACAATTGTTATAAGGAATGCACATCATTTCATTATAGATATCACAAAAATGTACACACGATCAAACGATCTACAACACGTACATCTTTGACTTAGACACATATTTCATCAATATATTACACTATAAAGCTGGCAACTAAAGATTTCTTACGATTTATGCATTCCTTCAAAATGGTTACATACCATTCAAATTATTACGAAAGTTGTATGTACATTGTAATTTCATTACACTAGATAGTCTTGGATTTGTCAACTTCAGGTCTAGATCTAGTAAATAAAAGGTGCCTACATATTTTCTCTTATTCCAGAAATATATTGCCATTAAGCATTATAAACCAAAAAATATATGAATTGAATTAAGATTATGTTGGCTTGATTGAATTCTGTGAATTTCAAAATGCAGTATTTTCTACCATTTTTATTGAAGCTGTCAAGTACGGGAAAAGTGGCATTGAATTAATTATGACGTCTTAATGGGTTAGCACAGGTTTAACACATTTACCAGTTATGATGTGATACGAAGTAGGTTCTACGTTAAAAGAAATGTAATGAATACTGTGTGCTAAATCAAAAGTTTATGTCTATATGTATAGTTTTTGCATTAGAATGACTGTGTATTTTACACTAGCCCATAGCTTTACAGAGCATATCTTTAGGTCTTATACTTACCCCACCCCCTTTCTTATTTAGGAGGAAGTCGATATTGAACAAAAGTAAAAAAAACCACCCTACCTTTATTTTTCTATAAAAAGGAATTAAAAATAAGCAAAAAATAATCTACTATTCTACTAATTTTTAATTGTTACTTTGCCACAATACTTTCAAGTATACCTCCACCAACATTTAAAGTATGCTTTAATCATGGCGAAGTAAATTATGATATGATAGTACTTGTGTGAAGGCTTAACTTCATTTCAATATTTTATCTAGAGCCTCTTTCAGAATTATTGAAAGGTATAGAGTTTTATTTATATTTTTGCTTTTCATTTATTATAATTTTTTTTGTTTTGATTTAACGTAATGTTCTTTTTTTGGGGGGGGGGGATAAAAATTTCTTCCTCTTTCATTGTCAAATAGGATTTGCCAACTTAAACAAACTAAAAGTTGAAATGACGGAAAATTTAATTTTTCCCAT